AAAATCAATTTTTGTAAGTTCACATCAGATCAGTCAGACTCAACACGAAGTCAAAAGAAAAAAGTAAAAAGACATTCAGAATATCTTACTTCCAGCAGAGAGGCTGTTCCAGACCGTTAACAACCTCGCTGGTGGCCTGCAGAACACATTCTCGGTTCCAGATTCGAACCTTTCGAGCACCTGAAATAAAAAGCTGCTATATTTTACATTCACATTAATGCATCTGGCAGAAACTTTTATGCAAAGTAACTTTCAAGATACACACTTTATCAGTTCATGCATTCTTTGGCAACCAAACACATGACCTTGGTGTTGTTAGCCCCATGTTCTGCTGTTTAAGCTACAGTAATAATGAACAATATTAACTGTCACAACTTTTCATGTAATAACTAGTGTTGTTTTTGACGGCCTGTTTTAATTTTAGTTTTAGTCTAGTCTTTGTGTAAAGCGGTCATTTTAGTTTTTATTAGTTTTAGTCACGTTCATACTCTTTTTAGTCTAGTCAAGTTTTAGTCAACTAAAAGTCTGAGCATTTTAGTCTTATTTTAGTCAGAATTATCCGTGACTATTTTCGTCTAGTTTTAGTCGACGAAAACTGATGATTTTCGGGTAGGTCTAACACACAGTAGGGCTATTAAGTTAATTAATTAAGCTAATACCAATTATCCAAATAATGTTTAATCCTAGAAAGCTATTATTATCAGAGGACACGTGAGCATAACGGTTAGCAGATCAATGAATGAGAGGGCAGTGTTCCCAGAGTTGCCCATTTACCACACCTTGTTACAGCACAGTAGGGCTATTGCAAACAGAAACAATACTGTACTACATAGATGTTTCCTGTCAGCTTGATTTTTGAGTGGACTTTGCTGTTCCGATGAGCATGAACGGTATGTGAGTGGAGCACTCACATGGGCCATGAGCGACTGAGCGGAGCGCACACGCGTAGAGCGTCACACCACGTGAAAGTGAATCCTGAGCGGTGAACTAATTTTCGGCAGCCGGATTTTCGGTGCATCTCTAATTATTGGCGACATCAGAAATTAATATTATATAATAGCTGCTTTTTTTAACATTTTAGCAATTTTTTAAATATTAAAAAAGGATTTTTTACACGGCACCCCTGCTCTCGACAGACGGCACCCCGGTTGGGAAACACTGCTCTAAATAATGCCACGAGTGGGGCTTGAGGAAGTGACGTCGCCTGCGTCTGCGCAGTGCGACCTGATGCAGCCCCTGAAGTGAGACACAGGAAACAGAAATACTGCAAAATAATAATAATAACGCGACTAAACAACGTTATAACATTTTGTTTCGTCTCGTTTTGGTCAACGAAAATTAAGAGACATTTTAGCATAGTTTTTATTTTGTAAACCACATTTAGTCTCGTTTTTATTCGTCAACAATATTGCATTATATATTTAATTATAGTCATCGTCACATGACCAGCATTTACGTTGCTTCTCGTCTCGTTTTCGTCACGTGATAAAGGTTCGTTGACGACGATATTTAGTCATAATTTTCGTTGACGAAAGCAACACTAGTAATAACAATAGCAGAAAATGAGAGTCTCACCAGTCTTAGGACAAACAGCGCTGACAGCAAATAATTGCCCATCGCCACGCCATGTGATTCTTGGCTTCCTGTCGTCCCATGGCAGAGCAGGCTGCACTTCCTGTGAAAGTGTATGAGAACTAGGTGAGAAAAAGACCATATTCAAACCAGGTTGAAATGACAATGATCTCCTGATGATCCTCAGGTCAGTATCATACTTCCTAGCTGCAGCGAGTTGATTTGGTAAAGCAGAAAGATGCTGAACAGAACAAAAACTTACTGCGGCTTTCCACTGGGCGGCCTGCTTGCCCTCAGAGCCATGAAACTGAGTCTCCTTCTTCCCCCAACCAACTGTGATGAACTTATCTAATGCACAGAAAGAAAGAAAAGAAATCAGACACAATATCTGCTCATATGCAGAGAACACAAGTCACCTAAATAAAAGCATGATATTAAGAGCAAAATTACTTTTATGAATTATACCTTCGCCAAAGTCATCCTGATTGATCGTAACCTCAGTTATTGGCTCAAAGTCCTTGGTCATCATGATAATGGTCTCCTGACCTGACATCCAACATAAGACACAAACAAGCACAATGAGAAAGAGTGACATGGCACTATTATGCACTTCTAAACAGATATATGCTGAGTGGCAGGGTTATTATAGTTAACTTAACCTAAAGCCATAAAAAAAACAATTCTGTTACTTGAAACAATATAAATGTTAACTTAAAATAAAACATTTTATTTTAGCTAGTAACTTTTACTTTAGCAATATTTCTCTTTTTTATTTAGTTTAACTTAATGCCCTAAAAATGACAAATTATAAGTAATATAAAATAAAAATATACAATAAACAAATACATAATACATAAATACATATATATATAAACTATATACACACACACAAAAAAACTGACAAAAACAAACTTAAAATTAAAATGAAAATTGAAAATATATAAATAAAAAATGAAATCAAAATATTAAAAAGAAAACTATAATAACATCTCAAGGATAGTAAAATAACACTGCTAGTGATATAGACCTGTGGTCAGAGTCACCAACTCTTGATCTGGGCTCCACGTCATGCCAGTTAGACCGCTTTCCACGCTGCCAACACATTCTAACTGCGAGAGAGAACTTGAAATTGTTCATTAGAAAGTACAACAAGAGCATACATATTTCACAGAATCATTTAGCAATCATCAAAGCATTTAGAACAAATGAATGATCACCTGACTGGTGCTGAGGTTGTAAAGAATAACATCACCACTGCCAGTGGCTACACACACTGACTCCTGATCTGGCAGATCTTGTATCGCCACCACAACCCCACTGCCGTCCTTTGGGAGATAGTCCTCTGCTGTCAGTGAAACCTCTTTATGAACCTATAGAAGCACATTATACAGCTAAATTAATGCATAGCTATTAGGGATGCACGATATATCGGCCACCATATCGGTATCGGCCCATATCGGCTCATTTTTTCTGTTATCGGTATCGGCCTGATAAGAAAATTTGGCCGATATCTTAAAGCCGATAAATAATGCATTATTTCCTTCAGAGACACTTCAGATGCGCGCTGTTCGTTTGCAGCCTTTTGTGCAATTGTACATTGTAATATTGTGTTTATTTGATGTATATCTGATTTATCTCATATAGAATGCGTTTGGTTAAGTTAAAAGAGCACTTCAGTTTGGTATTAGACATCCTAAACCAGAAACAATCCCCCTGGAACAAAATGGGGTAACAACAACTATCATAAATCACCCTTTCTGGAATTTAAACTTCTATGAAAACTTTTTTTTTATTATTCTAAAAATACCTCTTCGGTCCGAGGGTCAAACTCTGTGATGGCAAGCTCAGAAGCCACCAGCACGGTTCCAGTCTCGCTCCTGATGGTGAAACACTGTGGGGACCCCGGGAAGGAAAGATCCACACACTTGAAGCGCTGCAGCAGACTGAGGTTTCTCATTTTGGGTAGATGCTTTCAACAAGATGAGATCTGAAACAGTTTTGCAGTTTTTGTTAGATTGATCTGATCGCAATCTGCAAACTAAAATAAGACAAGGCAGGTGGGAAAGACAACCTGTCAACTTCAACTGCACGACATGCATCCTGGGATGCTTTTTAAACAACTATGCATGATGGACATTGATTGGTTGCTTTCCCTGAAAATAAATGTATACGTCAAAAAGTTTAATAGATTATCAGCAATAAATGAAGTGATTTCCATATTGATGTATCATGGTATTTACATGATGGTACTAAAAAGTAATACTAAAAATACCATGTTACATGTCCACAACACACGACATTACCATGGTACTAAAACATGGAATTTGATGTTAGCGAGACATTTATAACAACATCACAATGCTAATACAACGACATCAAAATGAATGAAATGTAACGTTATCTGTTTAACAGGATCTACCTCCTTATCCAGTAAATAAATGCTTTCAACATCAGAATAATTCTTATGATTACAAAATGGAAAGGAAACTGGCACAAATCAAGACAGCGTATGTTTGAAAGATGTACGCAGCAAATCTAGTTGTATTTATATAAAGACACAACCATCAGTAATACTTACCTTGTTGTCTTTTTGACCTTTTTATATGAGGTAAATTATCATTTGCGGCATACACATTCACAACACACGCACGTTGTTGTCAGCGCAGCCTGAACTCTGCCATCGAAGAAAAAATGGCAGTCTGTGGTGATGCGCGCAAGTGCGCACTCTGTCGTCTTGGAGGAACAGCGAGGACGTCAGGTTCATTTTTGAGAATCGGTTCTTTTGAACTGGTCTTTTTAAAGAACCGGTTGAAAAAGCAAGCCCGCGGTTCAAGCTTCAAAAGTCTCAGGTTCCAAAAACCTTGGTCAAGTTATGTGTTCACATATATTTGTTTTTCACGTTTTTTTTGTTTTTTCGATTAAATGCCGTTAAGTGTCAGTTGATAAAATTTCGAACCAAACGAATCACTGCGAGTCGGACATGTTCGACAGAAATGGTTCTCGGTTCAATGAGTTGGTCAGTTGTAGCAAAGACTTGTTGTAGTCTGTAACGTTACTCTGTTGTCAGTCTGTACTGAGTTCAGCTTGATTTACGTCTATACTGTATTTGGGTAACGATGCTTGGACCAATTCAGTCAACAATTCTTACAAAGCACGAATTGTTCAGTCCGATCCAGCGCATTCAGACCGGTTTTGCGAACTGGTTTAAATGATTCATTTGACCCAAATGATTCGTTCACGAGTCAGACGTCAAAATTACATGTTATTTCATGTACAAAACACACATTTTCGTTTAGTGTTCAAACGGCCCGTCTCCAGTGTAATTTAAATACGTTAAGTCAAATAGTTTTGACTTTTAAAAACAGTTTACACGTTTCTGAAATTCGACAGATACTTGGTATGTGTATGTTCGTTTGAAACGAGCAGTGCTTCAAAACTGTGTTTGAAGGCGATGACATTCATGACACGCCGCCCTAAAGACGTACGCAACACTATTACATATCCCTGATGTGTAATATTTCCTGATTTCCTTAATGCTGTGACTCGCTGAAAGAAATATGAGTCACTGGTGAAGGAAGTGCAGCTGTGTGCGAGTTGTTTAGATCTGTAAGTGCCACGAGACGCGCCCTGGACAGACGCATGGAGTAAAGAACACTGAACTTTTCAACAGAGAAGGTATGTGATTATTATCAACTACTGTGCTGTAAACAGTGTGTTTTATTTCAGTTGATTTATTACAGCAAACAGTGAACAATGCGCACATGTAAGCACGGGTGTAGACTAATAAAGAATGACTTACCTACGATACAGCGAAGAGTTTACCCGTTTTATTTATTGTTTCATTCATTGACATGCATTATACTATTTAATGCTTGAAAGTCCAATAATGTACATTAAATAATTTAAAATGTCATGCAACTTTATTGAAACTATATTTTTCCATTTGAATTAATCATTTTCTATTTGATACGAAACATCAGATAATGTTTAATTAATTATTAATAAAATGCATTACAAAGAATTACCTGGAGTTGTACATTAATGAGCGCTGGTGATATGTAATTGTGAAATATTCATATGTGGAAACTGAAATGAGGTAATAGCTGTGCATAGGCACATTGTGCAACGTTTTTGAAAGTGGAATTTGTATCCCACAGAATGTATGGTTCTCCATGCTGTTACTGCTTCTTCTTTTTAAGTATGATAATATGGGGCAAGACGCCCTCCAGGACAAGTTACCCTCCCCACCTTATTATTATTATTATTATTTATTTATTTTTGACCCCTGGGAGCTTTTGAGGGTAATTGCTTTAATTTTGTGTCTCTGGAAAACAGTTATTTGTGACATTGTATTATGTTAAATATAAAAGTAGTTTTGTGTTTATTTGGTAGGAAGGGATTTGTGGGCATACTGATGTGATGCTTTTAGATTTAAAAAGTAAAAAAAAAAAATAAAAAAAAACGTTTTATTTAAGTAAAGAAGATTTTGTAATTTTGGGGGTTATTATTCAATAATTCCACGACTTAGATGCACATTACAGACTAATTGATTGAAATTATACAGTTTGAATTCACAGTGTTGCTATTATGACATTGTCAATAAAATATTGCACACGTCAATATGCTATGTAATTCATAGTATAAATGTACTGTTCATATTAATCTTTTACCAAGATTCTGCTTTGTCTGTCATTAGTTATTCACTTATTCAGCTAAACTGTCATAACAGAAATTTAAATAGATCAGATGATATATTATTATACATTAATGACAGTTAGAAAATATAAAAATAATAAGAATATATAGGTAATAAGTAGTAAGTATGGCCAGATGGACATTTTTGAATAATGTTACATTTTGTGTTATGACAACTAAATTAGCAAATGTTTATATTTATATTCCTTCATAACACATTTGCTGATGCATCATCATCATCATCATCATCCTACACATGGTAAACTTATATCTAAATATGTTACAGTTTAAAAATAAATGCACATTATCTTGCTCCTTCATACCCTAATATTGATGGTTTTTCATTTAGATAGTGTATTATACGTATCTTCTACTGAAGCTCTAAATTACCATATTTTTATGATGTGGCTATGCAAATAGACGTCATTTGATTACTAGAAGAACATTTTGTCTGATGTTACTTCTTCTCTTTAGATAACCAGATGGAGAGAGATGGAAGCTCCCGCATGCCACCTCCACCGGACGTGCATGTATCTCCTGCAGATGAGTGTGTCGGCTCTGACGAGACCCAACAACAGAGTTTGGGTCGATCAGATAGGGCTCAGGATAAGAATGACACCCAGATCCATGCTGCTCTTCCTGATGGGACCTCTGCCACCCTCAGAGGGACACCCACTTCTTCCAGCACTAAACTATGTGGCTACCTCAACAAGCAGGGTGGACCCCTCAAAGCCTGGAAGTCCCGCTGGTTTGTCTACGAGGAGAAGAGCTGTCAGCTGTTTTACTACCGTATGGCACAGGATATCAATCCTCTGGGTAAGGTGGATCTGTCTCGTGCCACGTTCAGTTACCCGCTGCAGGGAGAGGAAGGAACCTTTCACATACAGACACCAGAGCGCACTGTCATTCTCAAGGTAATGTAATCACATGGTTTGAAATAACATATTTAAAAAAAAATTTGAATTGTGAAGCAACAAAGGGCGACAAACTTGGGATAGGTTGGTACAGTAATTGTGAAAAAATCACTTAGATGAACATGACAACTATAGATTATTTTACATGATTGTTTATATGAAGAAACGTAAGTCTATTTCAGTACTGTTATTGTTAACTAAATATATTAAAAAATATTTTATTTAACTAAATGAAATAAAATAAAATTTAAACATTAGATAAAACTTGAAGGAAAATTAGAAATGCTGCCTTGGTTACTTACTGAAGTTTAAACTAAAGCTGAAAATAAATGAATATTAAATATAATATTGTAGTACTTTATATATTACAAAAAGTAAAACTAATAAAAATGAGAACAGCGCATAACAATTACTAAAACTTAAACAAATTGACAGTATTTTCAAGAAATTGAAGCACAAATCTGTATTGTCAGAATTTGTCTGTGCATTTAACTTTGTAGTAGTTTGTAAGTCTCATTGTCCTGAAAGTTGATTCTCATTAAAGACTACTTTTAGTTTTATTACTTAAAGGGATAGTTCACACAAAAATGAAAATTCTGTCATGTTGTTCCAAACCCGTAATACCTTCATTCATCTTCCGACCACAGATTAAGATATTTTTGATGAAATCCAACAGCTTTCTGACCTTGCATAGACAGCCAGGGAACTACCACATTCAGGGCCCAGAAAGGTAGTAAGGGCATCATTAAAATAATCTGTTAAATAGTTTAAATAGTAATTAATGACTGAATGTAAATTTTTGGGTTAACTATCCCTTTAAATGAGCATACTGTACATTGAAGACAATACATCAAATACTGTGATTATGTATAAACACTTAACTATTTAATTATTTATTTAACCCACAGTAATGAGCATTGGAAGGAGTATGTGCTTCATTGCAACAATATTGAATAAATGCCAATGTGACTGGGAATGTCCCCGGGGAAAAAAGTGAAAGCACGTTTTTATGATTTTTTTTATGGCAGTTAGGTTCTAAAGGTCAGTTGCTTTTCAAAAACGAGATTGTAGGGTATATAAATGGGGGAGGAATCTAAACCTTTCTTTCTTTCTTTCTTTCTTTCTTTCTTTAAAATGGAACAGTGATCACATGACTGCACTTCATATTACACGCACCACATACTAGAGTATCAACAGAGAGAAAACGCTGCTGGCTGTACACATTTCGATAAAGTGTAAAGTTCTGATTAGTGGTCATTGATTGATATGTTTTTTTCTTAATTCTTAAAATACGATCACCCTCGAGTTTCTCTTTTGACTGTTACACATTAGGGTTACATATGGAGGAATAACAGTCAAGCATCTTGAGTAAGACAACAATACTTTCCTCTCAACAGTCTTCAAACATGATTTTGTTTTTAGGCAGCTAACAGGGATGCCCAGATGTACTGGTTGCAGCAGCTGCAGTTGAAACGTACATTACACAGGGAGCAGCATGCTGAACATAAGTCCATATCCAAACCAGACAACCACAAATTGGAAAGCACCCCATCAGCAAACAACTGCCGTGGTAAGAGCCTATACATCTTAGTAATAATGAAACTCGGCATTGCTTACATGGAAACTGAAAAACATTTACTGCATTATGGAAATTACACTGTTTATGAAATATGATTAGAGGGTGAATGCACTTAATTTTTCCAAGTAAAGTTCAGTTGTTTGGCCAGTCATGTGATACAAAGTTAATAGAAAGTGAAAGATGATCAGAACCAGTCAGATCTTGAGGACTATTCCAGAATGCTTGGAATCTGTGCACCAAAATAGTGTTTTAACTGACTGGTTCTATTGAGAAAGGAGTTCCTTCACCTTCAAACTGGTAAGATAGTAATGAAAAAAAGATGATAAATGAAATTTCAAAATGTTGCCTTAAAAGTAAGTAGTAAAAATGTCAAAAGCACTTAACAATGAACAAAAAATGTAATAAATACTATAATGGTATGTACAGTGCTGCTTGAAAGTTTGTGAACCCTTTAGAACTTTCTATATTTCTGCATAAATATAACCCAAAACATAATTAGATTTTCACACAAATCCTGAAAGTAGACAAAGAGAATCCAATCAAACAAAGGAGACAAAAATATGTACTTTGTCATTTATTTATTGAGAAAAATTATCTGGTGTTAAATATTTGTGAGTGGCAAAAGTATGTGAATCTTTGCAATGAGAACAGCGCATAACAATTACTAAAACTTAAACAAATTGACAGTATTTTCAAGAAATTGAAGCACAAATCTGTATTGTCAGAATTTGTCTGTGCATTTAACTTTGTAGTAGTTTGTAAGTCTCATTGTCCTGAAAGTTGATTCTCATTAAAGACTACTTTTAGTTTTATTACTTAAAGGGATAGTTCACACAAAAATGAAAATTCTGTCATGTTGTTCCAAACCCGTAAGACCTTCATTCATCTTCCGACCACAGATTAAGATATTTTTGATGAAATCCAACAGCTTTCTGACCTTGCATAGACAGCCAGGGAACTACCACATTCAGGGCCCAGAAAGGTAGTAAGGGCATCATTAAAATAATCTGTTAAATAGTTTAAATAGTAATTAATGACTGAATGTAAATTTTTGGGTTAACTATCCCTTTAAATGAGCATACTGTACATTGAAGACAATACATCAAATACTGTGATTATGTATAAACACTTAACTATTTAATTATTTATTTAACCCACAGTAATGAGCATTGGAAGGAGTATGTGCTTCATTGCAACAATATTGAATAAATGCCAATGTGACTGGGAATGTCCCCGGGGAAAAAAGTGAAAGCACGTTTTTATGATTTTTTTTATGGCAGTTAGGTTCTAAAGGTCAGTTGCTTTTCAAAAACGAGATTGTAGGGTATATAAATGGGGGAGGAATCTAAACCTTTCTTTCTTTCTTTCTTTCTTTCTTTCTTTCTTTCTTT